GGTTAGTGGCCCGCTCATATAAGGGTAACGTACGCTATTTTCAGCGCAGACGTGTCCTTCCTTGCTCGCAACCCATGCTCTACCATGAGAGATATCGCTCTATCTTTACCGAGGGAGTTAGTTGCCATCCTGGAGCCCTTGCTGGCTTACAGGGTTGGGGACTACTCCCTCCGGACTTCGTACAGGAGTCCAACTCTTCCACCCTCTCCATCTCCTTTGACCTAGGTCAAAGGAAAAGGCCTCTGGTCAAAGCTCCGGCCAAGACCAAGCCAAAGGAGAAGAAGACCCCGGCCCCTACCCCTGCTGCACCACGCCCGGTACAGAAGGCCAGGCCGCCCACAGTGAAAAAAGCTCCACCAGTCGCCCCCATGGAGACACAGGAGAGCCTTCCCACCACCCCCGACAGCTGCTTTGGAACTCGCTCCCCTCGAATCCAGAGGGGAGGAGCCCTTTCGCACGCCAGAAGGGACTGGCCATGGAACGAAAAAGAGAAAGAGAGAAGTATCTTCTCCCCCGACTCTCAACCCCTCCCATCACCACCAGCCTGCAAGACCACGGAAACCCAGACCGCCACACCACCAAGCCCCTCCTTCAACACCAGCCAAGTCCAGACCGACCCGGTCCCGGATCAAGATGTTGAGGTCGACCACCGTGTCCACCTTGCACAGCGGGCAGACCTCATTCTGGAGCAACACAAGGTCCACCCTAACCCTTGCTACCAGGATGAGAGCGGAAAGATTTACCCCAGCAACCGCCCACACCCACCCTTGCTGCTGGTGCAGTACTGGGGTGAAGAACGATTTAAACACCAGATTCACAGCCACCAGGATCTCTCGGACTTCCTGGTTGACTGTGAACTCCCAGTCAGGCCGCTCTTCATCATCAACGCCGCAGCCCGCCTCACCACCTCCTGGCTGGGAAGAAACAGTAACTTGCCTCACCAGCTCGCCAGCCGACGCCGTGCCTTCCCACGCTTGACACCCCCCCCCCCCCCCCCCCCCCCCCCTATATACATAGTGTTTATTCCTAATACAGGATATTTACCATCCCCAAATACACAAGCGTGATAACCTCTTTATCATATATAATAATTTCATTCTTTATTCTGTGCTTGAAAATCATTTTTCCCTCTCTCACGAACATTACCGAAACATTGCGAGTTTTCCTGGAATGCGCTCATTAATATTTATTACGTCACAGGGTAAGTGATGTGTCAGTCGGACAGTGACAGTAGCCAATATAGTTCCAACTGAAATCTGTTTCTTATACAGTGGCGAAGCCACATATACGCAAAACAACAATTGGTTTTACTTGCATTTCTCGGCAATCCATCGGCCTGTCCGCTAGAGTAACTGCCTTTTGTCAAATCTATGAGACGTCACGGCCACGTTCAGACGAAGTTGACAGTCGGCCTGTCCTGTCATAACGTTAAGAAGTGCAGTCAGATGTACACACAGCGCGACAAAATGAAAGAATGTAACAACTCATACATATTTCGGCCAAATCCAACTGTTTTAATTTGTGGAAAAGGTTTCAAGCCGCAGAGGACTACAAACACAGATATGGCTGCCGATACCGCTAGCCTAGGCCTGGTGCCCTCGCAAAATTGTTTCGAAATTTATATCTCCAAAGTTGCCCAAACTTATAAATTGCCTTTTTATACGTCACAGTTAGACACTGATTTTCAGTAAATTAGATTTCTTTTGATAATGATAGCAGTTATCCCATAGTTTATCCAGATTCCCGATGGGAATGACAAGGGAGACGCCATGTTTGTTTATAAACACGTAAAGTAGTCTTACTTGACCTTTGATATTTGCATCCACACTCCGGCGCAGTGTAGTGCCATAGGTCACATGTCTCAAAGACAAGCAACCAGTTTTTGTGAGAATCCGTCATGCGCGAACTCGCGACCTTCGGATTGTTAGCCAGGCAGCTAATCGACTGAGCTACGTCCACACTGTGAAACAAAATGCAAATTTACCTAGTCATGCCTACGACGTTACGGAACTGAACGAAAAGGGTCGAATAGGTGACGGACACTTACGAAGGTTACGGGTAGGCATGGTGTCTCGTGACTTTAGTCTACGGACACTTACGAATGATCCCGATGCCATTTGGCACTCGTCCCATTCCGTAATCTACAAGATACCGAGTGGCGAGGAATGGCGCGAACTGAAAACGGCGTCAGGCGTCAGACGTCGAACTCGCGAGTACGCATGAATGACATGGTATTCAATAATTCGTCGGGTGGATTTTGTGGCAGAAATGTGTGGTAGGGAACACTGTAAGGATGATGTGGATAATAGTAAGGAACGAGGGAGGCATGAGCATGGCTAGTGACGACACAACTGTGAGTTTTTGAATAAGTACTGAAAAAATGTAGCCGGTGAAAGTGGCTTGTGTGAATGTTCCAGGACAGTTTCCAGTAGCCAAAGTATTCGGCACAAAACCATTTCATCATTTTTACTCGACTCGAAACAAATAAAAAATAAAAATGCTTTCGTAAACTAGCGCTTGCTATAAAATGCGCCGCCGCAGGCTATATTTAGTAAACATATATTCAAAACCCTCAACACCGCTGGGCGTATTCAATGACATTGCGTGTGGAGATGATAGATCACTGGGAGGAGCTTATGCACACTCGATTACCCCCTGACGTCACAGGATATTGTTTCGCCGGTGTGACTAGCAACAAAATACTACAAATTACGTCATAGGTTATTGTCACGTGATTTTAAGGTTTGTGGTACTGTGTTCTAAAGGTAGGCCGACTCAGCATAACACCACTGTACTCACACTACGTCGCAGTGGTGACTCAGCATAACACCACTGCCAAAGGCTAATTTGCATATCACGTGACCGGACTTTTCTCTTGTTTGTAAACAAACGCGCTTTTTCAGAAATCAGTATAGAACGGACTAATGCAAGTATTTTGGGGCGCTTTACATATTGTTTTGCATAACTATATAGATATGCTACTACAACTGCTACAGTGAGTTGCATGACAATATATATTTATGCATCAAAGTGACCGTGTCGCTAGCTCTCCGTTGGGCTTCGATGACAGCACGTGGTGCCGTACAACCAATGTAAACATAGGATAACTACGCAAAAACAAGTAGATTTTTACGTATTTGCATACTTTCTCAATGAAAGTTAACCATTCTTTGACATTTGTTTATGAAAATGTGTAGACTTGTCAAACATGAAACGGATGAGAAGCATATGCAATATCTTGAATGGACTGTGAAAGATGTGACGAATCGTCACATGGCGCTGGCCTGTGGCAGAGGTACTATGCTGGCTGGCTGCCGGCCGCATGGAACTCTGGGTAGGAGAGTGCACTGTACTATGCATTCGTGACCAAACTCGTGTTATTCCGGGACAAGCCGAATAGCGACTCGTGCCCCTCTCATGGCCATTTTTGCGACCGGGTTCCGTCTTAGCGCAGACGGGCATACCTAAAACAATTGTCAACTCGTTGCGCATTTGTTCACATTTATTTCCCCATATATCATATATATTTCAGATGCAATTTAAAGCACATCGAGACATGTGGAATTATACAGTATGATTGAACACATTTAACTGTGTCTTGGGTATATTTTTAGATGCAAGACATATGTAAAATAAAAAAATATTTCTGAGGGATTCTTTCACGAAGAACTTGAAATCATACGCGCATTCTGATTGGTTTGTCGTATTTTCGCACATAACATTCATCGATAGGGGGACGAGTCTTCTTGCAGGCTACGGAAAGGGGCGAGTGGTGACGAATGTGTACTATGCTGGCTGGCTGCCGGCCTCATGGAACTCTGGGTAGGGGAGTGATTTGCATCTCTATCTGCATATGACCGCAACGGATATCGTTTTTATCCGTTGGCTTTATCCTGCCGAGAAACCTACCCATTTACATGATAAACAACAATATCGGTTTTGAAACATGGAAACGTCATAGAACAAACAGATGACGTCACTATTGAACGTGACTTCACCTATCCCTCCCCTATGACGTCACCTAACAACGGGCGCGATAATGGCCCGTCGTCAAGCAATATGAGGGCATTATCAAGTTACAGTGGCCCGCTGATTTTTGACCATCTCTTAAAGGGGAAGTGTACACGCAAAAATCACTTTCTTTCTTTTTCTAAACAAAACGCAATTTTAGAATTAATTAGTATCTGTGTTTGAAAATATACACTCATTTTTTTCACAGTGAAAGTAGGAAGCTCACAATAGTGTGAAAATGATATGCCGTTATGAGGCCTTCGTTTTTCGAGCTAAACAGGCCTGAGTTATCCCCCTTAGATTATGACGTAATTGGTGCCAATTCAACTGGGTCCCTGTCTATTCTCAACGCAAAAGATATCAAGTACCAGTTTGCGGTAAAACAACATGGCCTACGACACACTCCGGCGCAGTGGTGACTCAGCATAACACTATGCTGGCTGGCATCTGAGACGCTAGAATCACACACCTAGACCTACACCACGTGAAGCGGCTCTAACAAAGCATGATGACGTCATAATGTTTATCAATTGGCACCAATGACGTCATATTGCAAGGGGCATAAGCCATGGTGTTTTTGTTGTGGAAATAGAACACTTGGTAAATGTGAAAAATATAAATCGTTTTAATGCGAAAAATATGTTAATTAATTGTGATATTTTTATATTTTTGTCTATGACACTTCTAGGTTAACACTTTTAATGTGGAAAAAGTACAAGAAAATTAGGTTAATTTCCGTGTGAACTTGCCCTTTAATATTTATGCATGACCCCAATGTCAAACTCCAAAACGAGGCTTTCCCCGCAAACTACAACTATGGCGTCAAAACAAATCCCCGGAAGCGACTTGACTCGCGTACCTCGCTTGACTTTTGCATTCGTGGAGAACTTTGTTCAAGCTAACTCTAGGAGTGCAGGAACTTCTCAGCTGAACAAGGGGTTCAAGTACTACAGCGAGGGTTTCATATCCAGTCTCAAGGGTAACTTTCTCATTCATTTTATACCAATTTGACGATCACTTCACTTTGGCAGGTCACACTGACGTTGTCATATTCATGTGCTCGCAAGTGCTGATATATTTACATGAACTCAAAGATGTGTATTAAATATTATTATAGTCAATTGTAAGTTGGAACATATGCATCAATTCTAAGTCATTATACATATGAGAAGTGAGTACCGAGTACGGAATATAACTTCAGGCCAGAGTGCCGCTCAAAGGTCACACAGTGCGCAGTTCAGACGGCTGACAGCGTCCCCTTGCATGCATGACGAAGTTTACATCTATTTCCCGAGTTGATAATTGAAACAAAATTATTCAAACCGTACCAGGTAACGTATACAAGAACAATCTTAATCTATTATTTGCGTGAATACTAAATACCCATAGATCTAGAAATATAGAATATACATTTGTATTTCCATTTTGCAGCTTCTTGTGATGACAACTGTTGCCGCTTGACTGCAAGGTGCTATCGCTCACAGCGGAAAAACGAATCCCCACATGATATTCAGGTACGAATGAATCTCACAATTGCCTGAGCTTATCCCTGTAACCATGTTGCCCAACGTTATTACCAGGAGTGCAGGTAGATAGCAGCTAGGGTGAACATGTGAAAAGACTAATATTAATCGTTTTTATGACCATTTTACTATTTTGGAACCAGCCAGTATATTGGATGGATTGGAATTTTCAGCTACTGAAAATAATTCCAAGCATTACAATTAATGATGTTAATGGAAATAACACTACAAGGCTACATCTATTTTTAAAACCATTACTACCACTGAATTATTTCAGTACTCTCACCACACCATGTTATGTTGCAGACAAGTACAACATCCTATATTTGGTTTATTTCTCTCTATATGCAGATTATGCTCCACTCTGAGCCGGTGAGTGTCAGCTGTGCTAGCTGCTCATGTGCAATTGGCCTGAGTCAGTGCTGTGGACACATCACTGGGACTTTGTATCTTGTGGCTCATTACAAGCTGTGTGGAGTGAGGTCTATCCCCCAAGATGTTGCCAAGACATCATTGCCACAGACATGGCACATACCAAGGGGAGACAAGATTCGTGGAATGTCAGTTCAGGAGGTAGAAGTTGTTGGCTACAAGAGAGACAGTGATGAGCAGCATAAACCTGTGAAATCTACCCTGTACAACCCAATCCGTTCACCACTTCCTCCATTTGAGCTTTTGTTTGACAAGCTGACTGTGTCTCATCCTGACTCATCTCTGCTCACCACTGTACTGGTGAATCCTATCCACCTCTTGTGAATACAAGGTTTGGCTTGTTTCACAAGGGCAGCTCAATCAGTCATCAAAAGAAACTTTCACCATCATATTTGTTGAATATAGTTGATGCCTTTTTCCAAGACCTTCCTGTCAACAGTGACAATACTGGGGACAATCACTACAGCCATGTCACTAATGAGTCTTAAACTACCCTGCTTGACTCACTCTTGATCAGCAAGGAGGAGGCTGTGGAGATAGAGAAGGCTACCAGGCTGCAGGCTGCAGATAAGAAGTGGAAGAGATTGAGGACCCACAGAGTAACTGCATCCAAAGTTGGAGAAATATCAAAGCGAAAAAAAGGTAAAAAATTAAAATTTAAAAAAATTATGGCCAGAATGTGTATGAGAATATTAGCACACAAATCAGATAACTTATATGTAGTTATTATAATAAATATTGATTGATTTTCATTTTGAAACTGATATACTTTTTATTTGTATTCAGATCCTGAAAACTATGCCCAAAAGCTGAGGACCTCGACGAGAAATGTCATGACTGAGGCATGAGGGAAGGCCTTGCTAATGAGCCAGTTGCTGTTGCAGCTTACAGCAGAGTGAGATATTTTCTTAATTTGACACTGACTGTGTTGGTGCATGTAAAATGCAACAAAACAATTTTATGGAATGTTTGAATATGTATCTCCTCATTATATTGACCTAATTGGTACATAAGTGTATTCCATTCTATCACTCAACTTGATTGTTTTCATTTTTGTGATTTTTGAAACAGTTATCTCCATTTTGACAATCACAAGTTATTCATGCACACATTAGATAGGTAAAATAACTAAAATTGACTTTCAGGTGAAGGATGATAAGATAAATATTTATCCGTCTGGTATTGTCATCAACCCCAAGTGTTCCTGGATGGCTGCCTCACCAGACAGGAAGGTGCTTGACCCAAGCACCATTCCACCATTTGGCCTCCTGGAAATCAAGTGCCCTGACCTTAGTAACAAGGACATCCAAGATCTACAGTACCTGACCATGGTCAATGGTAACCTTTGCTTAAAGAAAAATGACAACTACTATCACCAAATACAGATGCAGCTAGCCATGTCTGGCCTGGTGTGGTGTGATTTTTTTGTATGGTCAACAAAAGCCACTCATTTAGAGAGAATATACTTCTGCAGAGATAGCTGGCAGCAAACTAAAGACAAAGCTGATAAGTTCTACTTTGATTATATCCTATGCTAAAATTATCTTGTAAAAATATGTCATTATCTCCGTCCATCAGGTACTAGTAACTACAGAATAAGAAATCAGAAACTTATTAAGTGTGATAGGTATTTTTTAATACTGGCCACTAGACAACGATTTGTCACTTGTTTTACAAGTATTTGACATCACAGCTTGAAAAACAATTGTAATGACCATTCATAATGTCATGTAACATCGTTAACTAGGGATGGCTAAAAAAGATTGATAATCAAAACTATTGTTGATGTGAACAATTTGTAACGATTATTGATATGAAAATTGTGTCATCGATAATATCTTATATAATCTATTGTTATGAGTAAAGTTTTAATTTACAGAAGCAGACTTGTTATGTCCATTGCCAAAGACGGAAAGCAACTAATTTTGTTATATCTGACATGTCCACAAAGTAATGCATAAATGTGTCACCACTCAACAGTGAAATGAAATATGTTGTTTTGTCTCTTGAGCTTTTAGCATACTTGCTAAAAGTTACTTCTCCAATATTTATCGATAATTGATCGATATTTAGTTAATGATTATCAATCACTCAGATCAATATCTATAGCAAGCCCTATTATTAATATATCAACAAGAATATTTAATAAATAACACAGCTTGTCTTTGCAACCAGTTTTCAACAAGAATGAATTTTCAATGAGTAAAAGCTGCACTACATGTATGTACAAAAATAAACACTTATATAAGTGTTGTGAATCACTTCCATTCATCCATTCCACATGTATCATATTTCTGGAGCACTGTTTTAGAGTTGAATTTTCTTTTTGATATCCAATTGAATATCAAGTTTAACTTCAGATGTCAACTTTTACAGACATTAGTTATTAATATCAACATGACAAAAATGCACTTCTCTACAACATATATGTTTGGGGTGCAAAACTAAATAACTATCGGTGATTATCATTAAATGGTCATTTGCAATCTGTATGCGAGTGAGTGAGTTAAAATTTAATGTCACATCAGCATTATTTCAGCTATATAGCTATGAGACCAAGTTGATATGTACACAGTTTGTTCATGAATACAAAGTTACATTCAAAAACAATTTATGGAACATATTTGGGAATAACAATCTCATGTAAACAGTTTTAAAACACAGGCTATAGGCCACCTTGCTGGGGATCATGGGGACTTACAGTGCCTCGGCTTCCTGTATGATACCCCAGCAGGATTTACGTCATCACTTCAGCTACTGGTGGTTGTGCACAATGCTAGCCAATTTTAAAAAATCACTCAGCAATGAGTTGGCTTTAAAACACTGGTTGATGATAGTTACATCGATTCTGATAGGATTCAAGTCACACAGGGTGACAATAATTGTACGATACTTTAACCCCCTGGACAGAGCCTTTGATAATGTCTGTTGTATGCACTTGTGCAGTACTTTGTATTGATTTGCAATTTTAGTTAATTTTGTAATACATTTGTTGATTGTATACCACCTGTTGGTTGTTTGTTGGTTTCAGACTAAGATTTCTGGGTTAACATACTGTTTCAATTTGGGAATTGACACGTAACACTTGGCCCAGTTTCAGATTTATGATTTGTCAAACAGTCAAAACACTGTATAGCATTTGGTTTCATGTAGCATCATGACAGACAGCAGGAGCTTAATAGCAGCAATTATGTGATTATCACATTTATCTTCGACTTTCTGTAAATAAAGGGGGATAAACATTACCATATTCAGTAGCTACATGAACTAAATCTAGGCAGCATGGACATTTGGCAAAAGAATCATCTAAATCGGTTGCTATAGCTACTCGTCACTTAAATATGTTAAAAACTCTTAATCAAAGGTCCCTGAAAACCTGATATTATACAGGCAACAGTCCACAACTGGTTAATGCTGCCCAGTTCAGCAATAGAGATTGTGGAGTCAAACAGGTGATTTTGTTTAACTCGTCTGATAAGTCTCTCCACATGAATCCTGAGAGATGCAATGGCAAACACCGGTACGAAACAGCGGTCCAGGGGGCGCTGCGGAATTTCCGTCCTTGTTGCTAGCTCCGTATGCTATTGTTTACATACAAAATGCCTTCGCGCTGTTGCGTACCGCAATGTGACAGTCGTTCTGACGGCCACGGTTTTCCTCAAGATCCGGATATTTGCATAAAATGGCGTGTGGCGATTAGAAGAGAGGATCCAGCATCCAAGAAATTATGGAAACCAAGTCCATACTCAGTGGTTTGTCGTAATCACTTCCTTGACAGCGACTACAAGCCATCGGACACCGGTAAGCGTCATTAGCAACGAAGTTAGTAACCGAATGAACGGACTAATGTTATTATTGTCCTGTACCTCAGAATCTGGTATTGGTGACCCACCAAATGCAATACAATATTCAGTAATTGTGATATGTAAATCAATCATGAATATAGTGTATTAGTCACGGTATATTTTTTTTTATCTGGGTGCACGATATTGGGCTCACCCAAATATTGGCAGAAAAAAATATGCCAGTCGTCCTCTGTGCCGCATTTTACTGAAATTTTTTTTTTTTTTAAATTGTCCTAATATTATTATATGTATTGCGATGAATGACTTTCAGTCAATTCTTTTTTACGTGTTAAATTAAATTTTACATAATTAGAATCTATTTAAATTATTCCCACCCTGAAGTTATGCCAGTCTTGAGTAGGCTTATATATGCAAAAAACTGTTGAAGTTGATGTTCGATCTATTTAGGAGTAGACCAAATATAGTTCTATTACTATTATAGAGTTCTATACTATTAAATGAAGTTATCTTAATAATAATAGATGTTCTAGCTTAGATTTCATTCCCATAAATTTGTCCCAACTAAAATAAACACCTTTTTTAAAATTTTGCTCATTTTTTTTGAATAATTTGCTTATGTCCTCATTGATAATATTTGTTCATGAATTTACCATGTTTATTGTTACTGTGTGAACAATAACTAAATTCCTTATTACGATAAAACCTTAATTGATGATATTTTGAAATAATTCTATATATTTTATTTTCAGGAAAGAAAAGACGATTGAAGAGGGGTTGCAATACCAACAGTGTTCTCCTTTAAGAAAGTGAATGAACCAAGGAAACCTAGACACTATATCATAGATGTGGAAGATGTTCCTGATCTGGGAAGTGAGGTTGAAATTTGTTCACCAGGATGCGATGAAATTATTTGTCAGTCAGATGCTGTTGATCATACAGAAGATGTGGCCATACAGTGCAGCTTGTTGTCGGAATCAAGCTCCAGATTCTCGATTCATCGCATAACTGATAATGACAAAGCAGTTTTGTATTACACTGGCTTTGACAATTATGATCATTTTATGTATTTCTTTCATGTACTTGGCCCCTCTGTCAATCATCTTTCATATCAGTGTTCCTTTTGATACCACCAGAAGATCAGCTTTTTATGACTTTGTTAAAATTCAGACAGGCAAGAGATGATTTTGACCTTTCCATGTTGTTTCATATCAGTGAAAGTACTGTATCAACATTAATTCTCACATGGACAAACTTTTTGTACTTCCAACTGACTGAGCTAAACATATGGGCATCACATGACACCGTTCAAGATACAATGCCAGAAAATTTCAAGGAGCGCTTCCCATCAACAAGGGTCATTCTAGATGCAACTGAGACTCCGATTTGTAAGTCAGGCAATGTAGATTACCAGGGGGCCACTTTCTCAAGGTACAAGAACAGGAACACTCTGAAAACTATGATTGGTTGTTCTCCTCGAGGTCTTGTTACCAATGTTAGTGACAGTTATGGTGGATCAACAAGTGACAGGCAGATTATTGAGAGGTCAGATTTGTGCATGCCAGGTGTGTTTTGTGCAGGAGACAGTATTATGGCGGACAGAGGCATTATGGTGCAGGACATATTTTCATCATAAAAGTCATATAAAAGTCAACACTCCAACAATGCTCAAGGGTCGAAGTCAGTTTGAACCCCAAGAGGTAGTCCACGACCACAGAGTATCATCCAAGAGAATTCATATTGAGCGTGTTATTGGACTTGGCAAAACTTACAAAATTCTTAAGAGGTAGCTTCATCCATCAAAAGTTCCACTAGGCACTAGAATTGTTCGAATTTGCTATATATGTTGTCAAACTTTCGCCCAAGCATTGTAAACCGACTTGCATGAATAAATGTCCATTCTAAACATACTTCACACATTCATGTATGTTTGTATGACCTAGTGTTGTCTTTTAATAGCATTGAAAGTACAACAGTTTACTACTAGTAGACAGGTGTGATTGTCTACTGTGACTGTATGGTAGGTATTAGACACGGCTCACTGCTGTATGATTACTGTTTACTCTGTTCCTTAATGATCTTGTTCAACTAATACAATCCGGAAACTGCAAAGGTATGTTTGTGAATGAGTTAGTTGATAAAATTAGCACAATGATGTTTGCTGATGGCATTTTGAATGCAAGTGACGCTATTGTCAAATTGCAGAAATCAGATGTAGCAAGCTTTTGTGGCAAATATGTTATGAATGTAAATTTAGATGAAACAATTATGATTGTATTTTGCAGAGGAGGAGTTTTCAAACAAATTGAAAAATAGTGGTTCAAAGGTGAAATACTTTAAATTGTATCAGCATACAAGTGCTTGTGAATATTTGACACCACAAAGTCTTCATGGGGTTTATTGTTGACAGAATGATTGTGCCAGTCATTGGTTATGGACCAGGTATGTGGGGTTATTCACAAGTTCAGACAGTTTAAAGTGTACACATGAGAACATTGTCTGTTAACACAAGTACAAATAAAGCGGTTGTTATAGTACAAGGATGTTTGTGGATTATGCACACAAAGTAAGCATATTTATGTAGAAATGTTTATAGATTGTGGATCAATATTTAGCGACAAACATGTAACCGTACTTTGGGTTGAATTCTGAATACAAACTTGAACTTGAAAGTACAACTGGAATGTGTGAGAAATGTTCAAATATAACAACTTTATTGTGTTTTAACAATTGAAATGATGAATATATGTACATAACACTCTACCCATGATATTACATAATGAAAAAATACCATTGAATGTCTCACATTTGTTTGTTGATCTGTGCTTAGGATCTCTCTCTCTTACCACTTTAACAATGAATGCAATAGTACAACACCATCACACGGTTGTCAGACAGACATTCAGTCATGTAATTTCATTGCAAAGGAGCTCCACCACATTCCCAAGGTCAGTGTTCGAAATATACATCGGTCAGTATACCCATACATGACAGATTTGTTCAAAGATGTTTTACAAGCTGATAATTTCCTTGATAAATGTATCACCATCTATTACCACTGAGTCTCTGGGAACTCGGTGTGATAGCAGTAATAGCTTCTGGATGACTGGTTGTATTTTGTAATTTTATATTGCAAGAGTATATCTCACTGCTTCAGAAAACATGTTTGGGCCTACAGTTTTTCCATTAGGCCTACAGCTAAGAATAGAAGTAAGTACTTTACACATGGTGTCAATCACATGGTGTCAATCAGGGATATACCTACCGGTACTCATTTGTATCATTCTCATCACCAGATTTCAATAGTTGAAAAGAACAAACTTTTATTCCTTAACTGTGAAAAGTCACTGATTTCAAATAATTTTTGAAAAGCGAGGCAAAAGTAAGTTTGATAAGACTCTTAGTACTTTTTAGATACACAGTCTTCACATGGATGTATTAATCCACAAAAGGATGTCTGTTCGTGAATCTTAACAAATGTAGTGAGTAGCAATGTAAGGCTTGAGGAAATTTAAGACTCAAAGAATAAGGAGAGTCTGGGAATCAAACTTCCTGTACAGTATTCCTCATCGAGTGATATTTTCTGAACAAAGAAGTCTTTGAACGTACAAACAGCAAATAAGCAGTATTTTCGCTTTGATAGATACATCTGACCCTGCACCTGAAAGTAGTAATGACAGTTTTCTTTCAGTTGCATGAGGCCATTTCTCTCACAAGTCAACAAACATTCCACAACTGTGAACATGAACATTACAGGCTATCTCAAGTTTGGCAATAGCTTTGGGTTCCTGCTGTAACCCATGCCTCACAGAGTTACAAACTAGTTTTCTTCCAGAGACAATTTGTTCACATAATTTAGTTTTGTTTCTCCTTGTAGTACATTTGCAAATTGTCCCAAACTGAGATGCTGTCAACCTCCATCTCCTCTCTTCATGCCACAAGCTACACTTGGCCTGCTTTCTTGTCTTTGACTCTAAGTCTGCAGCCTGGTCATCTGTAATCTGTCAAACACACAAAAACTTATCAATAAAATTCTTGAAACTCCTTTACAAATCAGAACAAAACAATTCAATCAGATAACATGGCCAAAACAGTTTAACCATATCAAAAGGTTAATATATACGGTACTATTTATTTTGATATATTTTAGTCTGATACATTGAGTGAATGCATACACCACTGGCTTTGCCAGAGACCATATGCCGGTATATGGTCTTTGCTTTTGCATACATGTAGTCATTATAGCCCCAGTTCATGCTCTGTAGACGATTGACATAGCATAATGGGTAAAAGATATTTACGCATGCTTTATTTACGATTTCACCAACATGCACAGGTTTTCATTCAATAAAATGAAATTTGCACACCCCTGACGTTTCGTTTATCGATAACAACAATTTTCATTCAAAGACTGTTCAAAGATTCAAAGCAAACTGACACAGAATTGGCAAGTCTCTTGTACAATTACATACCTTTCAATCAAATCGATCTTCTTCCCGCGTGTAGTTGCTCCACGGCATTGCAACTCTGTCTTCAGCTTCTCAACTGTCAAACCGCTGTAGTGCGACATGTTTACATTGGTTACATTAGCAACACTTCCGGGACGGAAATTCCGACGCGCCACCTGGCGGATTAGTGTACCGGTGTTTGCCATTTTCTGGGTCTCTGCAACTTCTTCAGCTGTAAACTGACCACAGTTATGCAGGAAGGGAGGAATATTTAAACCAACACCCTTCTCACTGAGAATACTTGCAATAGTAAAGCCCTTATCAGCCATGACACTGTCTCCTGGTTCTACAAGATCTAGGATCCCTGAAAGTTTAGTAATTTCTACATCAGACATCACACCTGTGAAGAGACATGAAACAAATGTTACAGCTCCATGTGGGGCAATACCAATCAAACCTTTTAGAGTGCAGTTGCTTTTGTAGTGGGAGTAGAACATGGAATTTACCACTAAGGCGGATGGAATTTGAAGCCTGATTTCTGTGCAGTCCAAAATAACTCTTGTGGATGGGTATGTCAACCGGAAATCCTGGGGCATGTGGCGATCCACCTGCACTCTAGAAGGCCAGATCGGTATTGATCCTAAAACAAAGTACAAGAAATTGGCCCAGGTGATAACTTTCCTGCTGATAGTTGAAATATGACAATTGAACCTAACTGCCAGGTCTTGCTCGGGTGTGCCAAGTCTTAGTCGTACAAAAAACATGAAAAGTTTTATCAATGAGAAGCATACTGCGTGGTCTTCCTGCAAGAGAGATATCATCTGAACATACATAATATTTGCTTCACATGTTAAAAGCACTGGGTTTGACAAAGTCGAAAAATATTTTGAAAGAGTGATAATCTCTGAAGGAGGTGTAATATTGCATCATGGCATCATCATGGGAGAAACGTTCAACACCAAATCTCTCAACAGTAAGCTGCCTGCTGAGATCATCTTTCTCCTGCTGAAGCTGCTGGATCCGCAACAGGAGCTGTTGGGTGTCAGGAAGGCAGAGGTCAGTCTGTGTCCCAGCATCAGGCTTCACAAAGGCAGGCTCTTGTTGCAAGTTCTCCAAACTGAAACATAAACATTGTCAAACCGAGATTACCGTAATGATACAGTTGTATTCAATTCTCAAAAAGTTTTATGAAACCTTGTCTGAGCTAGACCATGACATAGCACTGATGGTTTATGATAAAATGTAGGGGAGGACCATCCCTCTATTTTATGGTCTCTGGCCAGTGTATAACAAAAGGAAAATGAACTGACCTGTTGGGTTTAAGCTTATGATGTTGCTAGTTTTTTTCATTAAAATAACTTACTGAGAATTACATATAATCCTGCTTACTTTAACCCCCAAAATCAAACGCAAACACTACACATTGATGTTCAAACATGGTATTTGACATGTTTTATGTATAGACTTGTGTCTGATTCAATCACTTGACATTAATAAACCATTACCTTTGTTTTCTCATTCTTGCTATGGGTTGGAGGGGTTGTCTTGATGGTGGACCTTTCCTTGGTTTTTTGGCAGAGCTCCAGGGAAACAAGGATGGCACAATCCCTTGCTTCAAGGTTCTCCTGACTGGCGTGTACTTATAGTCCTCATTCAGAAAATGGTTGGAGCAGACAGTTGTTTTCTTCGTTACCTGAAGACAGATGATAATAATGTCAGTACCTCATCGGAATATGCCATTAAATCCATATAAACAGAAATTAAGTCTGTGCCGATTTAATCACCAGTAAAGCATACAAAAGTCTTATTATCTCTATTCATCTAAGAAACAAAACTACGGCAACAATTAGATGCAGACCGCTGATGTCTCGTATACGTATCTCGAATGTCACGAACGAGCGATGTTTCCTAGTAGCGACTCGTTGCACAAGAAATAGCTGAAAAGAGTGCATGCTCAACACGACTGTTTGACAGGTGACAGTTACAAGTGATGCAAACGGAAAAAGCTGAATGAAAAAGTTTACCTACCGTAAAAAACGGTCCTTCGTCGCGTCGAATGGCCACTATCCAAAGTTTCCGCAAATCGGCATCCTGAGGGAAGCTGTGGAAACTGACCGATTTGTCGTAACGTGTATCCGACATGCACTGAGGCACACAGCAGTGCTCGGCGGCCATGATGTCATAGTTTGACAGCTTGTGGGGTTAGCCTCGTTTTGGAGTTTGACCCCAGGGTCACGCATAAATATTAAGAGACGGCTATGCGGGCGGTTTAATGATAATTCTATCAATTTTAGCTGTAATTTCTGATAACATGCGGGCGGTTTAATGATAATTCTATCCAGTTTAGCTATAATATTCTTTATAGGTCACACTGGTTTCATTTCTTGTGTTTCAGAATTTCTTTCCCAACATACCAAAGGGCAGGGAGCAATATTTAAAATTTATTTCACATCATAAATCAATAGCTATCTTTTTTTTTTTCTTTTTCTTTTTGTTTGTTATTCAAATCAGTAGATTACATACTTTCACACAAAGGAAGATGAACTTTTCATAAGTGTAGGTTACATACATGTTCATCAAGTAGATAGAGGTAGCTTATCAGGATACAGGTGTGCATCTGGAGTCAGGGGGTGAAAGTAGCAGGCTATACTTATTGAGGTCTTCCTTGACTGACTGAAGCTACACCCTTACAACACAGCAGTGGGAACTGATCATGTTAAAAATAGGAGAATTAACTAGTCAGTTCATTTGCTTGTCTAAGAGGCGACTTACAGGATCGGGTAGTGAGGTTCGTATCGCAATTGCGTGGCTCGATGCTCATGTCAATTACTGGATTGTCTGGCCCAGACTCGATTATTTGCAGACCACCGTCATATAGCTTGAATATTGCTGAATGCAGCGTTAAACAACACACAAACCAACATTTGCCAAATATTCCCATTTCTGTCAAACTGTCTCAATGTATTGTTTGTGTGTGCAGTTGATATCTCTATCTGAAATATATATGTTCTAATCTGCATTAAGTTTTCAAAATGACAATTCGTTTTTTATCTAAATTTCATTGCTAAAGTATTTATTTTGGGCTAATGTGATTTGATTGAAAAGAACATGAAAGGTAATCCTAAGATAGAATAGAGCATTTTGTAAATGTAAATACTTTGTACATTTTGCATTCAGAAAACATTCTGCTTTGGCCCAACATCCTTTTAACATGCTGGCAGTCCCAGTATGCATGAAGTACAGTTTCAGAATTAGTTTCACAGAATGAGCACAGATCGTCAAACATTTTCAACAGTTCTGTGTATAGATGATGTGATGGATATATTTGCACTGGGAATCTAGTAATTTGACATCTTTTGTACATTTTCTATACAATAAAAACATTTTTTAAGTTCATTGAAAAACATTACAGAAATCTTTACATTCACTTTAAAAAATAATTCCTATCAATATAATCTGTTTTTGTAAGCTGATGGTTATAAAAAGGAGGCGCTTGTAATAATTCTCCAATGTTTATGACCATTTTTTATGTCTCCTATAAACTATTCCCCATGCAGCTAATACATCTCTCCAGTAAAGGTTAGTTAAGTATATATTGTTTCCAGTACAGGTTCTAGTGAAGAACATGACTTTTAGTGGACAGATGCTAAGGTTATGACTTCTGTTTTGAATATGTGTTTTTAGAACTGACAAATTTAGAGAGTTTATGCAAGCCCCCACCATTATTATTCTCAGTCCTCCATTATATTTTCTGATTCATGTTGTGCGTTCTCTTTTGTCCTGTTTATCATTCCAAGTAAAATGTTTTGGATAATTCATTAGTAAATTCACTTAGAGGGTTTTGAAGAGAAGAAAACATATGTACTAACCATGATTTTACCTATCAGGTTTATGTCTTCCAACTTCCAAAAATTCTATTGATGATTTTCAATCTTTGTTTTGTGATTATTTAGTTAGAATTAGCTTTATTTCAAATATTTCAAAGTCTCCACTGTGTTTAGTTTCAGATCCTGACATAATCTGATGTCACAGTTTGTCATTGAGCCCATTCCTATTGCTTTAATTTTATCAATATCAGTTTTAAACATGTTTGATCAAGTGAGTTAGTGAGTGGGTTGGGTTTAACGCCGCTTTTAGCAATATTCCAGCAAGATCACGGCGGGGGACACCAGAAATGGGCTTCACACTTTGTACCCATGTTGCGAATTGAACCAGGCTACCCGACCGCCCCTTGTTTGATCAAGACATTTTATAAAAATCATTGCCGGTGTCAATAGCTGCACTCGAACTTTCATCTGTCCCATCTAGAAGTATGTCAGTATCAGCATATTGTTCCACATGATTCAGTTTGATACCTTTTATTGCATAATTATCACAAATCATTATTCCCAATCCTTTTTGTAACTAGCAGGAATATCGAGACATTGGGTCTCCTTACCCGTTAAGATTCGCGGCTATGCTTGTCGTAAGAGGCGACTAACAGGATCTGGTGGAAAGGCTCGCTGACTTGGTTGATGCGCGTGATCGATCACAATTGCTCATGATATCAATCACTGGATTGTCTAGTCGAGACTCGATTATTTACAGACCGCCGTCAATTAGCTGGAATAGTGCTGAGTGTGGCGTTAAACAACAAACAAAAACATATGGTCTCCTTGTCTGCCTCTTCTCTCATTATAGAAGAATAGTGAGTGAGTGAGTCTGGTTTAGCAATATTCCAGCAATATGACGACAGGGGACAACAGAAATTTGCATCACACATCATACCCAAGTTGGGAATCGAACCCGGGTCTTCGGCATCACGAGCGAACGCTTTAACCACTAGGCTACCCGACCGCCCTACAGAAGAATAAGATAAGTGTCCATTTTGTATGATGCAAGATTAATCTCTTTTTTTTCTCCGTATATATATTAGTATCCTCTTTTTCACACTTGTCCTAAAGCCAGGTTTTCCCAGAGTCAACATAGTAAAAAGAATTGGAACAGTATCGAAAGCACAATACATGTATTTATTAAGAAGTCATCTTCTTTGTATTTACCACTTTGGAAATATTATTTCAAGAAGATACACTTTGATGACAATGGGGATGGGTGCACCCTGCCAAAGTGACCAGGTGAAGACCATCATGGTAGATAGACAATGTTTTGGCATAATATTCAACGAGTGACCAACAAGATTTGAAGGCCATGATTTCAGACAACATATTAAATACTACACTGTAGGAAAACTAACAATCTACTTACTTATTTGTAGCATTCCTAGACATGGTGATCATTTACATACACAAGCATTTGCTGAGTAAGAACTCTCCGCACCCACCACTTTCACTTTCACGTGTACAAACACAGCAACAATTGTACAACTGGAATACAAATACAACCCCATTCTTCAAAACTGTTCTTGTTTAATTGTACCTCAAAACACTTACGTTTGTTCATAAAGAAATCAATTGTCTAATGACACGTTTAGTACCTGGCGCCGCCATAATGGTTATCTGTGGTACTTTGTGGGGTCGATTCAGAGATTCACCCTCAGTGTCACTCTTGGTTGGACGCAAGCACTATAGTTGTAATAGTTGTAATCCTTGGGGGACGGGGATAACGTTTCGGTCAGTTGTTTAAATTGTACATTTTTTTCCCTCTGACAGGAGGATACCAACAGATCACACCATTGGTTGCAGGGATCTTCTGATGTTGGCTCAATTAGCATTTGGGTTTCAGAGAAACAAAATATGCAGTATTAACTAGATTTACATAGGTATGTGAAAAGGTCAGAGGGTAAAAACTAAAATATGCCTCAAAACATAATGTATTCAGCTAATTACGTAAATTTATGTGCCACGAAGTCCCATAATGACTCCTCATATCCTTATCATGAAGCTTTAGCTCTATGGAGGGGGCGGTAATGCCGAAGACCCGGGTTCGATTCCCGACATGGGTGCAATGTATGAATCCAATATCTGGTGTCCCCCGCCTTGATATTGCTGGAATAATGCTAAAACCATATTCCGCCCATCGGCTCAACATTCTACGTTGCAGCTGAAAAGGCAACAGCCATTGAATTGGTTGACCAGTGGTTGATTGAGCGCAGTGACTTAGACTGTGAGGTCATCATCTGTGGGGACCTGAATGCCCTTGTAGGCGGGGGAAACAACCCACCAGAGACACTTATTCAACGTGGCCTCAACAATGCAGCTTTTCCCGAAGAACCACCTGTTCCAGTAGAAACGATACAGTCATGTGATAGTTTTGTAAACGCGTTTGGTCGTAAGCTACTGGAACTGTGTTTCACTCCTGATTTCTATATCTTCAACGGCAGGACAACTGGAGACAAAGAGGGTAGTTTTACTTACATAGCAGATCAAGGATGTAGCGTAATCGGTTATTTTATAGGTTCAGTTAATGTTCACAACTGTTGTCAATCCATGTTTGTGGATACAAGAGTTGTGTCAAAACATATGCCTGTATGTCTACATTTTGACATATTTCTTCCTAAAGTATCTACAAGTGATGATTATCTTTCCACTAAAACACACAAATATAAATGGAACCCTCGCAAGCCTGGTGTGTTTATAGGAGGTATAACAAATCTATGCCCAAACAAGGAAGTATAGCAAATCGAGCTTATCGACCTTTTAACTTTTGATTTCAATCTTGCCCTCGAAAAAATTGTTAATGTTTTTCTTAGTGCCGCTGAATGTATGAAGGTACCTTGTGTTAAAAGTTCACCCCGAAATACGGGGTTTTATAACAGTGAATGCAGACGAGCAAAACGGGAAGCAAGGTGATACATGTGGAAATTCAAAGAGAAGAAATATAACGAAAATAAGTTAATCTTTTGTAAAAGGAGAAACAAGTATAAACATGTTTGCAGAACAGCAAAATCAAACTATCAATTTATGACACGAACAAAACTAAAGCTATCTCTATCGGATTCAACCACATTTTGGAAAGAGTTACGGAGTTTTACAAACGTTTTTCAGTGTACAGATGTATTACATGCCGAAGTCGAATGTCAATGTGATGAAGATTTTATACTTGATGAGATTGACCAGTGTATTTTGGAGTCGCCAATTACTGACTCAGAAATCCACAAGGCTATACATCGTTTAAAGAATGGCAAATCCCCTGGTGTTGATGACATGGTCATTGAAATGTTAAAATGTTGTGAAAAT